AAAACATAATAAAATATTTTGTTAAGATATTTCGATAGGGCCTACATATTTCCGTTACCACTTTTGTGAGAAATACCCGGTCCTCCTTGGAACCGAATTCGAAAGAACCGGTTCCTTAAATACTCACAACCGCACATCACCAATGTCCAGAGCAAAGACAAGCTAAGCGGTGTATCTGTTCATCACAAGAAGCTTCAAAAAAGCTGATTAATTTAGGTAGGGAGGACCTTGGAACTCTTAGTGGGATTTCGTGGAACAATGTTCCTTACGTTATCAACTCATTTAAATTAATCGTTCAGGCAAGAGCTTCTGTCATTTCTGTGAGAAAGATGAAAAACGCCGGAACATATAATTTGTGAATGCATTGCTCTTGCACGACGAAGACTCGTTCACCTATATCGCCTATACTGAATCCGCTCAAAATATGGACAAAAAAGTTCATGAGATGCTATCCTACATTAAAGCCTTCATAATAGACTATTTACGTCAGGGGTGGCGGTATGGGCCACATATACTAAACATATAATAGTAATAATTTCTGGGAAATCCCGTTACATACTTAACCTCAATGAATCAATAAATCTTTAAAGCCCCATTGGCTCTTTTTCAGCCAGGAGAATACTATATACGAGTACTTTAATCCAGAGATGGACACATTTTTGGCTACTAAATATGTAAGTCGAACGAAAATGTTCGACTTGTCCCCTACCTCGTTTGGTCTCGGAAGGAACTGAGGGGTCCTTCCCCATTACAACGGAGCTGAAAATTGTGCTCAACGTTACACCACATAGCCGTACAAGTTTTTCAGGTATCTAAAATTTTCACTTAATCAAAAGCGGCTTTAAAATCGACGACAATATTGTGTGTTTACTTATCGTAGATCCTTTCCAGAATTTTAGGCACTGTTAAAATGTGGTCAATGGTTGATTTGCCGCGTCTTTCGCCTTACTGATAAAGTAAAATCAGTTCCTTCATGAATAACTTAACTTTTTTGCACAAAATCGTCAATAGCAACTTTTACTCCTTATTAATAAGGCTAATTCCGCGGAAATTGACACAAATAGCATGATCTAACTTCTTGGGAATTTTACAAAATTTACTGAGGCCCCAACGCCCAATCTTTGGGAATCAGATGCCACACCATTTCTTCGCCACCTGCTTTGAACAGCTCAGCTGGTATATCGTCAGTCTAGACTCTAGAGGGCGTTTTGTTTTTAAGTATCATAGTGCTGTTTTGGTCGAGTAAAGGGACTTGAGCTTTGTATCGAAACATTAGTCTGAGTTCGGCTCCGTCAAAAGCGCCACCTTTGTTGCTACTCAAAAGGGCTGAAAAGTGTTCCCTCTTTATCTGAATTACTATTGGGAACATTTACAACCAGATTTCCATCTTTAAACTTGCAAAAACCAGCCCGGCCCCTGAAACCATTTTTTTACTGTCTAATTTTCTAATAAAATGTTTGGCCCACATTTTGGCCTGCCGGCCTGCAGCTTAAGGTATTGGGAGTGCTGAGGAATTTTATTCGTATTACATAACAAGGTCAGCACGATGAACAGAAATAAAGAGAGTTATTTGTTATGCATAATTCACCACATACATATGTACATACATACATACATATGTACGTACTTCCACAGACATCCTGAACATAACTACCCGAACTCGCCTCGCCNCATACGTACTTCCACAGACATCCTGAACATAACTACCCGAACTCGCCTCGCCCGCCGATCCGCCAGTGCCGTGAAAGGATGTTATCGAATAAGTTTAAGTGCTTTAAGAAGTTTGCTAATTCACGTATTTTTTTGTTTGTTTTTTAATCTGAATCACACACTTTTACCCAATACTTTCTGCTGTCACTGTTGCGGAACACTTTCAAGAGCTCAGAATATTAAACGATTTATAATTGCTCCTTGTAAAAACAAATTTGCAAAGTATGTATTTCATAAAAAAGTGATGAATGAACATAAAAATAAAGTCGATTTACACAATTTCCGCCGCCAAACATCAATGCCCAGCCAAAATCACCGACAAACATGCCATAAACAAATAAAGTTCTACAACAAAAGTGGCAAAACGAATTTAAAATCGAATGATCGAGTCGTAAACACTAAAAACAACAAGATAGCAATAAAAAAACCGCATTAAAAAATTGAAAAAGATTTTAAAAACACTAAAGATTACATACATACCTACACAAGTATGCATCTACACCACCCTCAATATCTACAATCACATTTGATAGCCCCTTACTATGTATGTAGTAGCTGTTAGCTAGCAAACTTCATCACACCTGCGAGTAATTATAATCACACTTAAAATCTATAAACTGAATTCATTCTCAACTTTGNCAGCAAACTTCATCACACCTGCGAGTAAATAATTATAATCACACTTAAAATCTATAAACTGAATTCATTCTCAACTTTGAACATAGAAGACTTCATTGATTACATTATTAGTTGCTAAGTTGTTATTGTGGTTTTGGTTGTTGCTGTAGATACATATACATATATACATATTTATTTGAATTCCAGTGAAATTTGTTGCCTTTGCTGGTAAATGGTACTAAATCTCTTTTAAGAAACATTTAAATGCTTTCATCTTCGATTAACTGCGGTCGTTCCTTCATACATGGCTATATGTGTTTCCCTTTCCCTTTGGTCTGTGTGTTTAGTTTACTTATTTGTGAATGAACAGACAAGTGTGAATGATCTTTTTGATCTTTCACACAATAAACTCATAAAAGTGCAATTAAAATCGAACGAATGAGTTTTCGATTTCCTTGATGAGTGAAAATCGATTTGGACAAACTTATCGTTAATGAGAGTTTAGTAATCTTTTTGCACAGAGAAAATAAGCAACCCAACTAAATGTCAAATACCAGCCGGCTAGATTACAAGNCCGTTCCTTCATACATGGCTATATGTGTTTCCCTTTCCCTTTGGTCTGTGTGTTTAGTTTACATATTTGTGAATGAACAGACAAGTGTGAATGATCTTTTTGATCTTTCACACAATAAACTCATAAAAGTGCAATTAAAATCGAACGAATGAGTTTTCGATTTCCTTGATGAGTGAAAATCGATTTGGACAAACTTATCGTTAATGAGAGTTTAGTAATCTTTTTGCACAGAGAAAATAAGTACCCGAACTAAATGCCAAATACCAGCCGGCTAGATTACAAGTAGATTAATCACATCAGCAGCTGATAAATGAATTCCCATGTCACAATTTTGAATGTCATAGCTCCAGGACAAGATTAAATGCCGCCAAAGGTACTAAAACCAGATCCCGACAGACAGTCGGAGAGTCTTCCTGACGAGCTGTCAATGGAGGCATGGTTGGTAAAATCCTAAATCGAGGAATGATTGAGCAAACCACNCAACCCAACTAAATGTCAAATACCAGCCGGCTAGATTACAAGTAGATTAATCACATCAGCAGCTATTTATTTCCAGTGATAAATGAATTCCCATGTCACAATTTTGAATGTCATAGCTCCAGGACAAGATTAAATGCCGCCAAAGGTACTAAAACCAGATCCCGACAGACAGTCGGAGAGTCTTCCTGACGAGCTGTCAATGGAGGCATGGTTGGTAAAATCCTAAATCGAGGAATGATTGAGCAAACCACAAGCGAAAGGCTTTGCGAAACACTGCAACCGGAATTCAGACAGGAGCTGGCAGTCTTCAGTAAAAAGCGCTTATGCATCGTCCACGTAAACAGTCTCGTAGAAATTACCGTAATGAGAAAATTCAAATTATGAGTTATATTGAGCGCAGGAAAGAGTGGCCAAGGCTCAGAGATCAAAACTGTTGTAACAACGCAGGTCTACGCTAGGCTAAGCACTTACTAGGAGGCTACAACCTCGGAAGGTACTTGGGCAATCATAAACCTTTCCAAAGTGAGCTTAAGGATAATAAACGGTTTTCTGGCGGGTCACTGCAGGCTAAGAAGTCACCTTCATAAGCAAAAAAACTGGTCGAACGACCTCGAAATTTCATGCGACATTTTTGCTAAAAAAAATGTTCGAATTTCAGAACAAAAACAGTTTCGAAGTTTGGTTTTAAAATCGTTGTAATTTGGTTCTTAGAGGGAGGGCCTAAAGATGTCTGCCAATTGCTGGACGTAAAGATATTGAATAGCACTAAAGCACACTTGTTATTCGAGTGATATAAAATTGAGTGAAGGATGCACAGCTGCATCCAAATCATATAAAAAATTCAATGCATTCTGCAATTTCCAAATTGAGGGGTTAACATTTTTATTTTTTGATTCTTAAACAGTGGAATCGTGCTTCTTGTCTCAAAAACTATAATAAATATTGGTACAATAAAACATAAAAAAAATTTATGAATATATCCGGTAGTTTTTTTTCGAATACCGCTATCTTTGACCGATCTTAAGGTCAAGGAGTAATTATGGCTCAATAGTCATATTTTTCCGAATAAGGGAATTACATTAGTTTTCAAAAGCATTTTGTTTGATATCAAACAATTCGCATAGAGTTTCCAAAGAGCACACTGTGCGGCGCCGCAAGGTACTTACACATTCCAAAAAGTCATTTAAAATGCTTGTGGTCTATTCAACTTTGCATTTAAGATGAAAAACAACAAAAATCGAATATCTGCTTAGTTACCATTTTTGGCTGCGTGAAATTCCCCATCGAATTTTTACCTAATAGCTGGATTCATACAATACAACTACTTCTGTCTCGCTAATTATGGAAGAGATCCTAGATCAAAAAGAAAATTGAAGATTCAGTTTTTTTTTTTTTTGAATTTATTACTGAAGACTTAGACCAATCTATGCTTAGACCAAAGTATGCTTTTCTATTTACAATCCTGTATAAAAGAAACGCCGAGAGTTTTGTTTGTTAGGTTTTAGCAACAATAGTTTTATGATTTCATAATTTTAGTAAACCATTCTTATAGTTCGATAATATTTCGTTTATTTTATCAGTTATTAGTGCTTCACATCTTTCTTTATTTTACTTGCAGATCCTGCTACACTGAATATATTTTCGACGCGCCCCAATCCAAAGAAAAAACGTAAATCGCGCACAGCCTTCACAAATCACCAAATATTCGAGCTCGAGAAACGCTTCCTTTACCAAAAGTATTTATCACCAGCAGATCGTGACGAGATCGCTGCGGCCTTAGGTCTCTCCAATGCACAGGTAAGTGAATGTATCAACTTGCAGTCATCTAGGCGTACATATATCACTAATTTCCCTCAATTCTCCAAAATAGGTGATCACTTGGTTCCAAAATAGACGTGCCAAATTGAAGCGTGACATGGAGGAGCTGAAAAAGGACGTCGAGAGCGTGAAACAATTGTCAGGACATAAAAGTTTTTTAGAAAATGTTAATGACTTAAGTATTTTAAAGACCCGACCAGTCAGCAGACATCAGCAGCCACCAATATCAATCGGCTTGCCGACAGCGCCTACAACAGCATCAGCAGCATTTAATGGCCACTCTGAACAGCAACCATCGCAATTTGGTGCAACATATGCACCGACTATCGCCCTTATCCTGCCTGCTGGCACAGTCACCCAGCCAGCAACAGCATCCATTCCCATACAACAAACACAGCGACATGAATCAGAAGCACTCAGTGTATCCATTGAAATTGCAACCAACCTCCGAAACGTCAGCGGCGGTGGGGGGGATGAAGGCAACAACAGCGTGGCAGCAAGAGCGAACGGCCGCCGCACAGCCACCGACGCAAGCATCGACACATCTCAATCAAGGTTGCACCAACTCAACAACAGCAGAGGATAAGAAAGAGCTGAAAATGCTGAAAATGATGACTTTGATGTACTACACAAGCCGTGCACAGGCCGATGCTGCGGCTGGTGATGCCGTCACAGTGTGTGGCAAAGGTGTGGGTAGTAGCAACGGTGGCATACATGCCGACCGCACGTCGTGCAAGTTCAATGGCAATTAGTAAGAGACTCTTTCTGCCAGATCGTTTGGAAAAATATCTGTATTAGCCCAATTTGTAAATTATACTGAAAAATAATGACTAAGTATAGGATGCATTAAAAAGAATCTTGTATTGTATATATGTATGTATGTATGTAGAAATAAATATGATTTAATTATAAGCATGTTTCCATATCCATAAGTATATATGTATGTATGTTTGCACAGTTAGCAACAGATACATGTGAAGAAACAGTTACTATGCCAATTGCCAAAATTTAAATTATGTAAATCGAAAAGTAGGTCATTAAGCTCTGCACTTGCTTCACCGTTCATGTGCGTTAGTCGATGTACACTAGACTGGGTCACGAAAAAAGTTTCTTATAACGACCGCCACTAAATTGAAAACTTACTTGGAGGGGATTTTGGCATCATAAAAATGCTAGTCAATGACACGTCCTAAACCGTGAAAGTTTATGAGCCATTTGAAACTCCGAACTTTTATAATAAAAGGCGTTAGGAGGAAACTAGTTTCGGACTTTTATTTTGTATGAAATAAAATAATCGGTCAACCCACAATTTTTAAGGCCGAAATAAAAATCTGCTCCTAAGCAAATTTGGTATCAAATTGAAGAGGATTAAAATAATTTCTTAAACTGAAATACCTAAAGGAGGAAGGCAACCTATTAAAAAACACTAATTACCATAGAACAATCCTTGGGTTAGGTATATGAATTTATTTTGTATTAAATTATAAAAAAATTATAAATAGGTGGTAACCATTGCTTAGATATTTGTGTTTTGATAAGCGGTTTGTTTATTATTAGAAACGGACTTTCATTTCGGCCTTAAAATTTATTTGGCCAAGTTCAACTTTTATTACTGAGCTAAAAGAATGAAATTCCGTATTTTTTTTTATTATGGGACTTTTTCCCAAAAAGCGCGAAAAATAAAAAGAATCTAGGAATCTTGTCCAAAAAGAATATTAATAACTTTCTTCTACGACAATCGGCCCTATGATGGTTGTGGTCGAGCACGAAAATTTTTATAAAGCAAAAATCCCCACCAAGGTATTTTTTTTTTTTTGAAACAGTAACCGATCCGGTCTAATATGTACATACTACCTGCGTTATTATTAAGCAAAAAATACATAAATAAATAAATTCTAGACACACATGCATGTCTGCATAAACAACGGTGCATATGTATGTATATCAGATTTCACTTTTAAGCACAAATGTGATTTTCCCTTCTTATTTAATTATGTAAATAAAATTTTTTTTAATTCATATGAGATACCAATTATCCTTAATTGTTGTATTTGTATATCGCTACAAAATTAAATTGGATCTCAACATAAAGTAGGTCATTCGGGCTCATTATTTTCTCAAAGAATTTTCCGCGAAAAAGGAATTTCTCTTCAAAACCTTAGAAGCCTCGATTTATGGTTCAAAAACATTGATTTAATGTAAGAAAAGTTAGAAAATCATTGTTTACTGGTAAGAAAATTTAGCTGTACTGTAAGAAATAGAAATGGGAAGGTTACTTAAACTTTGCGACTAAATGGCCGGCTAGCAGGGACCACGCCTTAAATCGTAGTAAGACGGAATTGGTATTTTGTGTTACAAGGAAGTAGGTACTATATCCGCAACGGAACTCATTCCTTGATTGTTATTTGCCTACAGCTTTCCAACAGTGTCAGGTACTTGTGCCTGAGGGAAAAGTGAGAAGGGCTTCATTAGCCTTATATTGCTTCAGGCGACGTATTGGATGTGGTATCTTGTTCTTATGACACCACAGTTACACCTCTTAAGTTTTAGGGAGTAATGCTCTGCACTTCACAAGTGCTTTTTTATAATTCGGAGATAAAAAACAAAAATTTTCATAACCATTTTAACATGTTGCCTCTGACGGGATTAGCAGATAACAGCAAGCATCTCTACATACTCAGCTACAGCCGCTTTATAAATTTGTCTTTAAATGTTGAATTT